TAATCTGATCTGCTGGTTGAATAACGGCTAAGGTGTTCAGAGTTAAGTGGCTCCAATTTCACACCCACGGCCCGGGAAGTCAAGTCCCGAACTGAATTACCGTGGTTACCAAGTATTACATTCCTCCAGAACCATTTAATTGGCACTACTCGTCTGGCAGGATAAAAACCTGATTCATAGATACTCAACTGAGCGCCCAAGCCAATTTACATGCCAAATCACATTCATGATGTCGCTGCCGTTTCTGAGTGGAGGTAGAGTGGCACGTCTAAAATAGGGCCGGTTGCTTTGTGTTCCGCTTTTCATCGACAAATTCGGCAGCATATTGCTTTCCGGTCATAATGGTGACCCAAAAGATTGGCCGTGACGGTGGCTGGGGCAAACCTATCGGTTTTTACGAAAACGGTTCTCCCAACAACTGGACCCGATCTTCGCTTTTCGCCATTAAAATGATGAATTGTGGGTCGCGCTCACGAATGGGATTACCTTTTGATGCTTTCCGGTTTGCAGGATGGGGGGTTTGCAGGGTATCGAGTTCCTGCAAATCGCCGTGCTCCGACATCTGTTCGAGCTTGACCTGCAAGCGTACCCCAACTCTTGTTTGAGTTCAAATCGTCTCTAAACCTTTGGCCTTTTGTACAGGACTTGATCTGGGTTTGCTGACACCTGATTGAACTACCGTAAGTGAAACATTTGACGGAGAACCGAGACAGCACCGCTAGCCTACCCTCACTGCGAAACACAAGCGTCATTCAACGGTCCCGTAAAACTCCCTCTTGCAGGTAGGGTCAATCCGTTGTTCTTATTGTCAAAAGCTTTTATGGTCCCCCCCTCCCTCCTTTGCGCTCCCCTCCTCCTTAGATTAGGCTCTCGATATTCCTCTCAGCCACCAACCCGTTGTCCTTAGGGAGTGCCGGTTCAGGGTAAATCGTCACGTTAGCACATTTTCAAGAAAATTTGCGACCCCCACCACCACAATCAACCTAAAAGGCTCCCCAATACGATCTCTCTTCCCTGATCTCTGGCCCATCATGGCTGTATCTATAGTATTAGGCGTTTCAAAAGTTCTGGTCGTTTTTGAACATTGCCACGTCTTGGATGCTCCTATTTTCCTTTAAACCCAGAAAAACTGCAATCGGTATGAGTATCATTTTGAAGAGCTTTTCCTGCTCTATCCAATGCTTAGCTTAGCTTTGTCCTAAAACATTTTCTTATAGCTTTTTCAAAGCTCTGAATGCGGTATACTCGATGAGCAAGTTGGCATGACTTTCTTTTTCTAGCTTTAAATAGACCTGAAAGTAGCGGGAACAGTTCAAAATATTAACGATGCACTTGGCCTAGATTCGCAATAAATGTGCTCATATGCAGTAGTTCGAAAAGTTATTGTAACGAAAGCGAGAGCCTTGGGTATGATACTAGTGGTAGTCAGATATCGGACGTTGCCACCCATTACGTATAAGGAAGTAGCGACACTCCAAAAAGATTGATGAGGGACCCGTGCCGCGACAAATCACCAGTCCGAAGATCGTCCATCAAATTGTAGCTTGTTTTATGTGATAATAGCGACTCGTTTTTCTACAGATTTGCGACGTACAATAAAGAGCGGATTCTTCTCTACAGTCCACGAAGCTTTGCTGGATAGCTCGACGGCGATAGAGCTCTACAAACTGTGCAAAACTTAAACTGTGCTGAATAAGGGTTATGCAACATCTTACTTAGTAGACCTTTGGTCTATCTACTGTCACATTTCTGACGATCTCGATAGCTTCCTTGAAGAGAAATGCATCAAAACCCAACATGATGCCAAATCGACCTTCCCTCAGTTCATCGCCTCAACAGCTCCAGCATTCTGAACAAGCGTTCCCAGTAGAATGGTTTCCTTATAGAGAAAAGTTCGCGCATTCGAATGGTTTTTTAATCAGCTTGAAAGGTTTACTTTATGCCGAGATACATGCATTTAAAATTCGGGGTCGGAAAACGACAGAACTTTCTGAAACGCCTAATTGATTCCAAAACCAGTCCACACACTCAACTCCCCCACTTTTTCCTTCGGGACGGGGGGGGGGGACAAATTGGTGTCCTGAAACGGAAAGTCCACCAATTTCTCCAAATTCCTCAGAAAACCTGTCCAAACACAGCCCTCTTGAACGACCTACGTCAACCTCCGTTCCAGTATAATAACCTTGCTCAACCCCGAAATGCGACCCCATCCCAAAATTTACAAATGCGACCCCGTCGTTTGAATAGTGGTTCTCCATCACAGATTCTCCATCACAACTAATAAAAAATCCGTTCAAAGCGACTCCCTCAACATCCAATAATCCCGTTTTCTCAAAATACGTCCCCTCTTTTCCAACTCTTGACCTTCACCAATCCCTAATACGACCCCTCCCTGAAAATTGAAATAGGACCCCTCGTTCAGAAATGCGCAACGCACGGTTGACCCTGCTCGCACGTCTGCCTGACCTCTGACCTACTCATAGCTAGGCACAGGATTTTTGCTGGGCATTGGCTTGTTTTGTTTGTTGCCTGCTGTTTAAACGCCACAGTTCATGTGGCAGGAAAAGCTGGGCTAATGGTAAGGAGAAGCGGTGCCTCGGTGGTGTAATCGGTAGCACAAGCGCTTGCAAAGCGGGAGGTGCTGGTTCGCTTCCCTCCTAGGGCGAAGAGTTTGCAAATCATTTTTGTGTTGAGAATATTTGAGGAAATGTGCCAATGGATCATCTTTCCGTAAAGGGTTGTGTTGAAAAAGAATTTTATTTCTTAATTCATTTATTTCGACTATTTCAGCCGTACGATGGGCTCTGCTGACGTCATTGGTTATGTTTCTTCTTGGTATGGCGCTCCTGATGACGTTAAGTATGATGTCTGAACAACAGAAACCACAAATGCAAATCGTCAAGAAGTCGAGAATTTTCCCTCAAGGAGGTATGTATGGAACCCATTT